TTATTTATGTTAAGTAAAATATATTTTTTTATGAAAAATGGTGACAGACATAACATTAATACGAGGAATAAAAATAAACTAGCTATTCTTGATAGTCGTCTTCAAAGGGCAATGTACACGCTTCTATAATGATATTCCGAATGATATTCAAAATTTGCCATTTACGAAGTTTAAAACTATAGGAAAACAATAACTTTATACTAGTTATTATTAAACCTTCTGCGCACTTAGACGACAAAAATCCGTAGTAGTGGCCCGTTTAGCTCTAACAGATAGTCTCGATCTAAGATGTTTAAATTAAATATTGCAATGATAAATGTTTTTTCATATACATTTATGTAGAAGAAGGTATATTTACAAAGAGCAACTCTTAGGGTCGTATTCTAGAACTCTACTAATACTCAAGTCAGAATTTGAGTATAGTTTAAAGCACTCGAAATCATACTCAAGTCCCTGCCATTAGGGTCGTATTTCCAGTGCTTGTGTTTCCAGTGCAATCCTGACTTGAGCATTGAGTAGAGTTCTAGAATACGACCCTTAGAGTTTCCTGCTCATTCTTCTCAGGGGAATCTGTCTTAGGGTTGGGCAGTAGAGTTTAATCAATAAGACGATTTCAAGTGTAATTTTTTTACATATGATATAAAGATTATTTGAATTTAATTTTGAATTAGAAAACGGACTTCTTTTGCAAGAGCCTGGGGTTTATCGAACTTAATTAAATATGTTTTATTCATAACGTCTTTGCAGACTTATTGACGGTGCTTAACAACTTCCCTGTCCAACGAGTCATATGACTCATGGGTACGTTCTGAAATAAGTCCATCAATCAATATGACTCGTTTCTTCATGCAACTTCAAGCACCTTTTTCTCTATGAACGTGATACGGTATCTGTTATAGAATCTTGATTTTTTGGTAAAAAATTTGATTTCTAACCTGAAAGCAACCGAATATACCATTTTTTTTTATATCGTCTAATATTGATTTATGAAGAAGAAGGTATTAAAAAAAATCTCTTTGTAGATATCAGTGGACTTGAGGTGACATATAATTGCCTTGTATGGAGACAGGGAAGTTGTTAACATCAGTTAGGTCATAAAGATATTCCACTGCTTATGTTACGAAAACCCAGCTGTGGAATGTCATTTATTCATATAGAACATTAGGTAATAGAGTAACTTCAAGATGATTTGTAATACTTTTGAAATTCATTTAAAAAGTTGCTAAAGAAACATTTCTTTTATCTTTAAAAGATAACATTATATTATGTAAAAGATTACTGTGATAATTAACGATTTTTATATAAAAAGATTCCGATTTTACTCATAACATCATTATTTAATATATACAAATATCAACTACATATTTCGTTGTTCAAATATAAATAAGTAGATAATTGTTCACGACAAAGAAGGAAGGAAAAATTTTGCTTACAATGCATTTGTTGAAAACTGCTCTGTTTGCGATATTCATTTTCGAGGTAACTAATTTTATTTATAAATATATAACTTTTTATGGTATCATATGATGGAACCAACAAGTCGTGCGCCTGGTGGTAAGCGACACACCTGTCCATAACAGTTTATAACATGTAATAAGACAGATACGTAATAATGCAGATAACACCATAATAAAGCTCTTTGTGAAAGAGTCTGTCCAGGGAAATACTGCCATCATATCCATTTCTGCCGCTAAACAATGATGGTAGCATTGCCATCCGGTTTTACAGAGAAAGGGGGCTGATGAAACTATACAGGCATGGGACTTGTTAACTTATGGCTCAGGGTGACGGGCGTGACAGGGCGATTTAAGCAAGGCAGATTTAAAGCTCTAAGTGGCACAGCAGTTATTATGGACAGACGTGTCGCTTACCAACAGGTGCACTTGTTCGTCCCGTCATTTAGTATTATAAAAAAAAGTCCCACTGTGACGAATGCAGTCACAGTGCCCCTCAGATCTTGTGACTTAAAGCTCTGATTGACACTGCAAATGTAATGGACAGGCAGTTCATGACATGTAACATAAAAAAAGTATATCTTTAAATGTGAATTTTTAAATTTAATTTTTTTTATTTCTTCACAGACTCTATCCGCTCAAAGTTTACCAAGCAACTTCCGACAACCGATAATTACAGAAACTATTATCGAAACAATATCCAGTGAAAATGGCAACACTCAAGCCTTTTGCAAAGAGCTTGCATCCGCCATTCAAAGTGTTGTCATATCAAAATTACAAAAAGGAACACTTCCCACCGAAATAAGTAACATATGTTCGTGCAATTTTTGTACCAAAAATAACCCATCTATTACTGAAATAGGGAACATTTGTACCCGTCCTTTGTGTTCTAAAAATTCCTGCCCATATTCCAAAACCAACTTATGTTCTTGTCCGTTCTGTACCTCGCAAAATTTAAATAAAGGCCAGTTGATGTTTTCACCTTTGATACAAGGTTCTAATGCTGCTCCTTGTGCCTTAGTACGTCAGAATTCACCCATGAGTGCAGTATACTTACAAAAAAGCTCTGAAATGCAAAATGATGGTACAAAAGGAATAAATGCATTATTTTCTCTAAATAACATTCAAAATCCTTGTAAATGTTTAGGACCTTGTTGTTGTCCGAAAGATCTAGGCAATTTATCTGGCAACAGAGTGCCTAGATCCAGCAATAAGTTTTCTGAAATTTTTCTTTTGAACTCTCCTAATTTATATAGAAATAATTTTGCCTAAGTTCTTTATTGGGGATTAAGTATTTATTGTAAATTATTATTAAAATAAAAATACCAACGGAATACAAAAGAGTTTTTTTTATATCCTTTAAACTTGTTATAACTCCGTTTAACCGTTTATTTAACTTTTGACAGCTCTAATTTTTTTTTCATAACATCAAGTGACGGAACATAGGTTGACAAGTCCCATGTGCCTGTAATTTCACCCGCACCCTTACCCTTCAAAACCGGAACACAGTAATGTTGACATTACTTCTTGGCAGCAGAAATAGGTGAGGTGGCAGTACTACCCTGGACGAACTCTTTCACAAGGAGCTTTATTGCTACAATTAGTGATGTCCTAATGCGTTTACGATTCGTTTTTTTTTTATAACAATCAATATTGTTTATGAAGAAGTTTAACTCGTGAATGTGAGCGGGTTCTAAAAAGAAGATATTCCGATACCCGACGATTCATTATAATGAACAATAAAAAATTATTATAATTAATTTAATTTCATTATAATTTATTAAACAGGTACCAACATTTATCAACTTGAATTATTTCGTTACGTAATCGGTTGACTCGATATTTATAGGAGCTAAAGAGCATGTCGCATCACTAAAATTAAAATATAAAAGAGTCCGGGAAGTGTTGCATAGATTGGTTGTATGCACTGACTTACAAATAAATGGACGACGACGGGTCTAATACAAAAACCACGAAAAAAATGTCCCAAGTCAACCTATTTAAACGTAGTGACATGTAAAGGAATATGAAAAAGCTAAAACGTTGAATTTAAATTGTAATGTCATCGCTGTCTAATTTTGCTTGCTTCGCTGTCAGTCGAACAAACGAAGACTAAAGCGTGAATGGCGCTCTGTATACGATTTTAACGCCCTATAAGTTCGGACACTTTTTAGCGCGGACCCGACGTCCATATAATTGTAAGTCAATGGTTGTATGTCAATAATTACGGAAATTCTTTAAAAGTTAAATAAATCATTGGACGGAGTATACTTATTCAGACAATGTAATTTGTGTCTCATCTTTCACTAATAATGCATCTAACTAAAAATCCACCATCATCATCAGTTTTCATGCATCCACTGCTAGACATAAGCCTCGCCCTGAGAACGCCAACTCTCCCAGTATTGTGCTGCCCGTATCTAGCCGCTGCCGACCATCTTTCTCAGGTCAGCTTTCCACCTTGCTACAAGGCATCCTTCACTACGTTTGCTCTTACATGGTTGGCACAAACTACATGTTACTTTCGTAAAATTAAATTTTTATTCAATCTAACTGCCAATTAACAATATATACATAAATGACTTATCGTCGGCGATAGTGCAATTACGCGGAACTAACTGATTTTAAGTCTCCATTTAGGTAATTTAGGCGCGAAATCAAATTCGCGTAAGTGTCGTAACAACCAAATTAGCGTGATTTACGGAAATCAGTTCGTAGAAAACATAAATTAATGCTTACTGTGCAAAAATGAAATTCGTAGCCATTGAAATAACAAAGTAATAACCATTGACTTACAATTATATGGACGTCGGGTCCGCGCTAAAAAGTGTCCGAACTTATAGGGCGTTAAAGTCGTATACAGAGCGTCATTCACGCTTTAGTCTTCGTTTGTTCGACTGACAGCGAAGCAAGCAAAATTAGACAGTACTGCGATGACATTACAATTTAAATTCAACGTTTTAGCTTTTTCATATTCCTTTACATGTCACTACGTTTAAACAGGTTGACTTGGGACATTTTTTTCGTGGTTTTTGTATTAGACCCGTCGTCCATTTATTTGTAAGTCTATGGTAATAACGTTAAACCCATCTCCTGTGAAATTTGGTTTGGTGCCGATACGCGTTTTTTACCAATACCACATATGCGAATTTACACTATCCCCGACGTTATGTTTATTTTTTTATGACTATCAAGTGTAGGACGAACGAGTCGTGCGCCTGGAGGCAGGCATCAACGCATTGCTGTCCCAATCAGAGCTTTAAATCGCAAAGATCTGAGGGGCACTGCCGCTGCGTCTCATGTGTCTGTAGTTTCGTCTGCAACCTTTTCCTCTAACACTGAAGGTAATGATGCTCACATTACTGCATGGCAACAGAATCAGTACTTCCTTGAACGAACTCATTCAAAAGCGATGTACTGTTACTAAAATTTTCCAACTACTAACTTTGTTCATTGCCACAGTTTTTGCGACATCAATGTTGTAATTTCGTAACAATATCACGAATACTATAAAACGAGTTACTATTTCAGTAACTATTTCAAGTCTGTCCAAGATGGCCGCTTTTATTTTGATATTAGTGTTTTGTGTCTTATTAAATAAGGTAAGGAAATTATTTTCTTGTGTTCAACTCATGACATTATTAAACAGACTTTTAATGTCATAATTAGAAATAATTTGAACTGGTGCCACCGTAAAGCAAAGGAGTAAAGCCAATCCTCGTATCGTGGATGCCTGGTATTGTAAGACCACGCGGGCGTCACGTTCGTTCCTTCCTGCAAGATGTGGCATTGTCTCCTGAAGTACTGCCTTTGTGCTATGACATGGGGTTCTTCAAAAAGCGTGTCAACAAGGCTCCCTAAGGCTGACGACGCAAAGGATCTGATGTCTATGGACGACGATGACTACCTCCCATCAAGTGGCCCATCTGCTCGTTTGCCTCCTATATTATATAAAAAAACTACCATAGATAGCATATTTATGATTTGCAACATTAACTTATTTTTCCAGACACTATCGCAACCCTGCTACACAACAGAGCTGCCATCAGCGCTAAAATTACCATTAGATAAACCGTACGCTACTTCCAAGAACGATTTCATTGTAACCTTCAACTCTTCACCAATAGAACCAAAGTTAACTGTCACTGTTCCTCACAATTATGTTCCTGAATGTGCACCTTCAAAGGTTACTTGTACACCTATAATTAAGTCTCTAGTTCCAAATCAAGATATACCAAATCTAACTTCATTTATACCTTCTTCAGAATGTTCAGCTCCAAAAGTCGCTGCAACTCCAGAAATTGCCTTAAATCCTTTTGTAGATTCTAGTTGTACTTCTACGGTACCTGTTTCTGAATCCATTCCTTCTAAAAATACATATACTACAATTTTTACAGACTCCAGTTTGCCCTCTATACAACCTGAATATACTACAAATATAACACCTTCAGTTGCATATATGCCCACATCAGCTCCCATTTCTGAACCTTTATCGTCAGAAGCAAAGATATCGTCTTTATATAATGTACCACCAGTAATATACCAGAAGACAATCCAAGATAACAGCCTAGCTATGTCTTTATCCAATGTATTACAACTATTTGTACTCGACAAAATATTACAGAGATTATCTCCTACACCTTGTCAAAATTCTAAATCATTTGATTCGAATATTTATTCTTCTTACTCTGATAATGTTCCTGTAACTTTTAATAATAATTTTAATCCATATTTTGTACCGCAAATTGAAAATGGCGTAATCAATACTAATTCATATAAATATATAGAAGAACCAACTAATTTTATACCATGGAATATCGATACACCTTTGCCTTGTTCTTATATTGAGGATACACCAAGTTATTATGATCATAATTTGATATCTACAAACGTTTATGATATTTCTGAAGAAATCTCTAATCCTTACAACAATATACAAATGATTCATAATCCAATTGACCCTTATAGCGATTCAAACGTATATGCGTACCCTATTGTGTATGAAAATATTGCCATCCTTCCAAATACACACGTAGATACATATACTAGTGAATTAACTGATTGCATCAATACAGATTTACCTATAGAATACGAAATAGTAGAAGGTATAATTTCGAAATCAGTAACTTACGATAATTCTAATGGTATGTACACGCATTTAGATCCTATTTACGAGTATGTTTCACCACAAAGTGTTGAAACTATAGAAGCATTACCTTTACCTTTTGCGGAGTCATCTTATAACTTTGTTAACACAAATCCTATAATATATGATTTTGTCAGTCCTATTTTGACAAATCCTTATAACAGTCCACAATTGTCTCCTGTTTCATCACAATATCCTTCATCAACGTATAATGAAATCAATTCAATGCCATTGTGTTTGGAATTGTTAATGCCTTCGTCAATACCATTGCAACTAGCTTGTATCTGTGACATACCAAAATCTGTACCTGAACTAACTTTAGGCATTGAACCTTTATTCTATTGTTCCTATTGTGAATATATGTAAAAATAATTTGAGGATGGATCCACCAAGTACCTGTTCGATACCTTGAACAGATTGCAATGTCACGCCGCATGAGTTGATACCTCGAGTTGATACCACTTAGCGTTTTTTTAAAAGACCTTAAGTCCATGTTTTGGAATTTAAATGTTTTTACAAACATTGTTTTAGATGCCAAAAATTAATGAAAGTCATGAAGTCTTTCGTCGTTTGTTATTTGTTGAAAATATTTTATTTAGCCTTAAGATTGATTTTAAATGCCTAATTAATAACTCATTCTTTTTAATCGCTCTGCACTAGTGTTTTAAAGAGAATGACCCCCTTTACACAGTCACTCTACCGCGCGGGGTTAACCTATCACAAACTCGAATTTCTTTTTTCCGGAATATACGTTTGTTCAAATTTTCATTGCCCCGAAAACCGATCGAATTATTAACAAAACCGTTGGTCTTTCAGGATATGTTGGATGTTTATCGCACAGACACTATTAGATTCGGTTAGGTTATGTTAAGTTAGATTTAAAAGAAAATAACATTTACCTCTCAAAATTACTTTCGATGTTAAGAAAATTCGAGCAAACGCTGTTTCGGTCTTATGGCAGGTAACCTACCGTTCGTGATCAGGAGTTGTTTAAATTTTTTTACACTAACATTGCTAGTGTACGTTTTTATTACAAAGGAAAGAGCGTCCGTGTAAAGGCTAATAGCGCAAGATAGACCGCCTGAAACTGGCGTGTGTCGGAGTGTACACTGATGAACACAACCGCGCGGTCTTTCCCTTATCCTTCTAACGTCTTTACACGCATTCTGAAGTGAAGAATGCTGTATCACGCGCGATAGGGTGTGTAAAGCACGCTAATGATGTTCTAGAAGTACCTCCGTAATCAAGTTGTTGTATTCCATCGCAAACAAAAAGGTTTGGTGGCATCTTTTAATTTGACACAAGGTGTATATATTTATATGTCTGTATATGTTTCGTATTTATGTAATAAGTATATATTTATTTTAAAGACATCAACCTACTCTGTATAAATATGTAACCCAATCACTGTTTCAAAATAATAAAACTAATATAACTGCTCTAATTACCTGTACTGTACAATTTAGAAATTTGTAAATTAGATGTAGTAAACAGATATGGATGTAGAAGAGCGGAGTCTCCTAACACAGGCATTGCTATGCTTAAAAGGAGATTCCAGTGACTAATACTGTAAATCTAAACTTGAAATGAAATAAATGATTATTATTATTATTATTATCTTTCTCTGTCGCATAATCGACAAATCGAACTCACTTCAGGCACATGTATCCCCATGATGTCACACCGTTAATACAATAGTGTATTTTTTTTTAAACGACTTAGGTACTCACTCCCCGTGAAAGATTATTAAAATTTATGTAAGTAAAGGTTAAAAATTAATACAGACATCTAAACAAATTCCAAACATATTTAAAAATTAAAGGGAAATAACAGTTTTATATTTCTGAATAAGGACTATTTTATCCAGATCTAGCTCGCAGAAAATATGTCTCAGTTTGAGATTGACTTACAATTATATGGACGTCGGGTCCGCGCTAAAAAGTGTCCGCACTTGTAAGGCGCTAAAATCGTATACAGAGCGCCAAACTCCGCTTTAGTCTTCATTTGTTCTACTGACAGCGCGATACTGCGATGACATTACAATTTAAATTTCGAATAGGTTGACTTGGGACATTTTTTTCGTGGTTTTTGTATTAGACCCGTCGTCCATTTATTTGTAAGTCAATGCAGTTTGAGTTAAGTTGTTACATTTTAATTGTTTCTTACAACATTCTAACGGCGGTTTTATTGACGGGTGGAGAATATTTTTTTGCTTTCGGCTGTAATATAATCTTGAACTTCACGTATTTTGAGTTACAAGACTATTCTAATAGCAGTGCGATATGATGTCTATCAAACGAGGCGTGAATATCTTGAAGGCATGTCGGTAATTACATCATTCCCGTTTGGATATCAGTTTCCTTTTAACATCCAGTAGATTGGAAACATCTGTCATGTATAAAAATATAATCACTACCTACCCTTTAATGTTTCCTCTAAAAAAAGTATTTAGTAGATACTGTGATTGCAAAGTATAATGAAGAACTTGTTCCTCTCGGGTAGTTATTATCTATTAAGGATCGAATTGTTATTGAAAAGTACATTTTATTACAATTGGTTTAAATGATGTTTTATTATAGGAACTATTATTGGATACATAATTGTATCCTCGTATGTTTCATATATTAAAATACATTAGTTTTATGTTTTTAATTACATAAATACAATATATGAATGGTTTTTTATTTATTTTCCACAAATAATAGTTTTTTTTTTAATAAGAATGTATCATTTCCGGTTCTAAGGTTTTCACGATTGTTATCAATTGAAAATGAAAGCAGTTTTTATTAATACAAAATTCCTTCGATCCGGTTGGATTCGAATCAACGTCTTCCAGCAAACGGTGCCAGACGCTATGCTAACTAAGCCACGGAAGAAACTAGCGGATGAAAGAGCGACGAATTACTCTATGTGTTTCTTGCAGAAGTTTGTTTGTGGTTTTTAACGACTTTTTTCCCATTTCGCCATCTGTGAGAAATGTATTTCTTCACTCAGCCAACCTTTACAGCTACCAGCAGTTGACTGGGGATGTCGCTTTAATAAACGTAATTTTTTAGTTTACTGAATGTCGCGATGCTTGACCACCATGATTTTTTTATAATTATTATTCAAGGTTTCCCTTGAATAATAATCATGTCAATAACAATCAAAGAGTCATGAAACAGGTAAATGATACAAAAACATCGATTAGAACAAATGGAACTGGAGTTCCACAATCATAAACAAGACTTTAGCAAGTAAGTTAGTTACGGTTCAACTACATTCAAATACAACAACATAATAAACTAGATAACCAAGTAACATCCCGAAAATTAGGTACAGTTCACTGTTACACGCAAATTAGATTTAAAAATTAAAAAATTGCTTCTCTTACTCTCTTCTTAAAACTATGTAAGGATACCCCAAAGATATCTATATTATTTAAGTGTTTATTATAGAAATTCAAAGAGCGCTTAAAGAAACCATTTTTGGAGTAGTTTGTTCTACTAAATTTACATGAGAAGGTAGCTTTAGAACGCAAGGAGGTGCAAGCCGGGAACTCTTAAGTTAATTTATTGATTTTTTTATGATATTCACATACCTATATAAAGATACGAAGATCTGCAACAAGCACGTAGAAAAATTCGTAAGACCGTCGCTACTTCGTCCCGTGGCTTAGTTGGCATAGCGTCTGGCACGGTTTTCTGGAAGACGTTGGTTCGAATCCAGCCGGATCAAAGGAATTTTTTCTAAGTGTTCAATCTTTGCATTAATAATTATAACAAACTAGTGGAGTAATTTCACAAAAATAATTGAATGTCATATTATAATTAGCATCAAAAATTATATATTATATTAATTTTTCAAACAAGTCAGTCGTGACCATAGAGCCTGCAAGTGATTTAGAACCAAAAAGGGATACTTTCTTTTTCAATAATGTTCTAGCTAAATCTATTGGAATAATAAGGGTATGAACAATAATATTTCATAATCTCAGCACAGAGTACTAAAAACAGTGACCTCAAAAGTACGTGGAATTACATATAATTACCAAGTTTTATTGAAATCGGTTACCGGAAAGTGCGCAAACCCGGATTCATCCCCTAGTTCGCCTCTATACGGGACTTGACACAGGAGATAATAAAAATTATCTCACTACTTTTCTCACTACTCAAAGTATATTGAAAGAGAAAAACGCCTTGAATTGGAGAATAGCAAAATCAACCATTATAATAATTGCTCCTTATAATAAAATTTAGACTTTATTTATAAAAATGAATCTTCATGCGTGAACAGCCAACCTTAGAGGTGAATGATTTTCTTCAAAATTAAATGGGACCACTATGGAGGTACCCGCTTTCCAACAAAAAAAGAATCATGAAAATCAGTTTACAAATACCGGAGTTATCGCGTAACATACATACAAAAAAAACATACGAATTGAGAACCCCTACTTTTTAAAAGTCGGTTAAAAATAAAAACAAATCATAAAACGCTTCAATTAAATTTATTGATAAGAAATAAATATTCGTAGTACATAATTCGATGCTTATCAAGAATAGCGTCACAATCCAAAATAATTCCTTTTTTAAACTTGCCTATTACTGAGATTTGTTTAGAAAACGCTGAATTTTACTGCGAATGGGACACCGAGCTTTTCATTGGTTAAAATGATCACATGACAACGTTGTGATAGTATACAATATGTCAATTTTGCGCGGCAGACACGTCTTAGGGTTTTAAACCATCTCCCTGATGAATTAGTATTTTTGAAATATGCCACTATTCTAGAAAGCCACTGTCGATAACTATATCGTAATAAAGCAAAATAAACCTTATCGACATAATGTAGTAAGAATGTACAACCAACCACACTTAGCGTTCTCAAACAGCGAATCAATATAGGACTTGATCAGTTCTTACACACTACATGTAATTTAAATAGCTTAAGTACGAACACGACGAATCACATGGCGTGATGAAATTAGAATTAGAAATAAGGTTGGGTAAAATACCGCTGGCAAAAATTGGGTTGGAACAACCACATGATAATACTGGAGACGACAGTAAATCATTTATGACCGGAGTAGCCATTTGTATACCTATCTCTTTCGCACCTAAATTGTTCTGTAACATGTTACATACAATCATTAATTGTAATGTTTCAGCTAAATTCTGACAAGCTTCTGGTGAACTGTCTGTTATAATGATTGTAGATCCAACTTCAACGGGGGTTATTATTTGAGGCGCGCAAGGAACATTTGGATTAGGAGATGAAATAAATTCAATATTAGGACATAGTTGATTTGGTTGCGGTGAAAAAGGAATTAATAATTCTTGTACTGAAATAGGTGAATTAGGAATTGTCGGAGGTGAATGGGGATTATTGGGACATGGTTGTGTTTCTTGTTGTGGAAAAGGTATTAATAATTGTTGTGTTGAAACATGTGAATTGGGAATTATTGGAGGTGAGTTGGGATTATTGGGACATGGTTTTATTTGTTGGCGCAAAAAAGGGATTAACAATTGCTGCGTTGAAATAGGTAGGTTAGGAATTATCGGAGGTGAATTAGAATTATCGGGACACGGTTGCATATGTTGTTGTGAACAAGGAACAAATAATTGTTGTGTTGCAATAGGAGCATTTGGAATTACCGGAGGCGAATTGGGATTATTCGGGCACGGCTGTGTTCGTTGTGTCGAAAAGGGAGCAAATAATTGTTGTGTTGATAGAGGTGGGTTAGGAATTAGCGGAGGTGAACAGGGATTATTGGGACATGGTTCCATATTTTGTGGTGGAAAGTGACCTATGGACAATTGTTGTGGTGAAATAGGCATCCCTTGTTGTTTACATTGTTGACTAGGTTGATTGATGAGTGGCTGCTCCATTAATTGTTGTAGATGTTTAAGACACTGCGAATTAGCTGCCTGCAAATAAATAAAATACAATTTGAATGACTAAACACAGCTATTTATAATTGAAACAAACTCGAAGAAAAAAGACAATAAAACACGAAGCAGCAAATCACAGGTAAATTTCATAGTTTTGCTCCCATACCGTGTCATTGGAAAATCAATCTGAAGTACAAATGTCTATTATTACGATGGTCACCAACATACCAACAGCTATATCTAATATTAATGCAAACCAATATTAATGTTAGACATAACTGGTTGATAACTTTACCCTCTCAGTCAGCTATAAGCAAAGAGCCCAAAATGTTAGTTTGTTTAAAAAACAAATACACGAGATTTAAACCCGATAAAGAAGTTTCAATTTCCACGAAATGTACAGAATTTCTCAGTAATAATAATAATAAATATTAAACAACGTCAGATACGTTGCTCCTATCCCAAAGTAAAGCAGCTTGTGTTATGGAAATTGGAAACAACGACGATACCACAAACACCCAGACAGAGACAATATAGAAAATTTAGTTTTTGGCATTTCTATTTTAGTTCAACTCCTCGTATTTCCGCCGCTAAACAGTAATGTGAGAAGGGTAAGGGTGCTGGTGAAATTGCAGGCACATGGCAATTGTCAACTTACATCTCAGGGTGACAGGCGCGGTAGCAGTGACCCTCAGATCTTTGCGATTTAAAGCTCTGAGTGGCACTGCAACTGGCCAACCAGGCGCACGACTTGTTAGTCCCGTCACTTAATATTATTTAAAAAATAAAAACATTAACCCGACCGGGGATAAAACCAGAGTAAGCGAAACATCGAAAGCTCGTGTGCAAGCCACTCAACCACAGATGTCGTCATGAACATCAGGCTGAGTTTAAAGTTAACATGGTAATTTATATGATAAAACAGATTGTTAAACTGTCTAGACGAATAAATATTTAATAAAATGAAAACTTTATTGAGTTTGTTAGGTTAAAATTGTTTGGTTTAAAAAAAAAAGAACAAAAACAACGAACAGGACCGCGGCTCCGACTACCTGTTTACACCCTTTGGTCCGTGGAGGCCCAATGCCCTCAGTTTTTTCAAAATTTATAAAAAAGCTTTTTGGGAAACCTAAGTGCTACCTTGCCCAATGTATCAGCATAGCTATACAAAGAGGGAACGCTGCCAGCATCTTGGGCACCTTGCCGCGACGACCCAATTTTATTAATTTAAGTCTAGTTTTAATTTATGTAAGCTTTTATTGTAATGTATGCCTTAGCTCGTTTCAATTGAAATAAATAATATATACATTTAAATCACAACGACCAAAAAGAAAACCGAAAATAAATATACCTTCCAATATATTGCGATAAAACAGAAAAGAAAAAATAATTTCTTCATTTTCCTCAACCAATTGAACTTTTTACCACCAACGTAAAGCACTTATTGAAAATAACTAATTCATAATATGTTGACAACTAATATTTAACCTTTAATGTTATCTAAACAATCAAAAGTTACCGCAAAATTATAATTAAGTTGGTTAATATGTTAACTAATGGTTTTTATCGGCTGTAATTAAATTACTTACGAAATTTTTTGTTTTGTTTCTTGAATTGTTACGATGTGTCACATATTTCAAATGAAATAGATAATTATTGTCTATCTTTTTTTAAGACCGAGTAAAATGACACTTCATTGCGAAAAAGTGTTGCCCGCTTGCGAGCAGCTAGTGATTGCAGTTGATAAATATTCTATCGACTATCGACTGAATATTGGCCAAGCCGAACTTGTTTCATTTGAATCTTCCTCGACCTATTATTCATCCAATTACTGAGCATAGGTTCACTTGAATTGTTAATTTTGTAAGTTCGTACATACATACACTGCATTTACTTTGTTTGTGAAAAGTAAAAAAAGGATATACGTTTTAAAGTTTTTCATTTTAATTCAATATAGATAACGAAATCCGGCTATTCTTGTAAAATCAGTACAGCTTCTTGTGAAAGAGTTCGTCAAGGAAAGTACTGCCACCTTATCTATTTCTGCCGCCAAGCAGAAACGTCATCATTACTGCGTTCCGTTTTTGAAGGGTGCTGGTGAAATTACAGGCACATGGGACTTGTCAACTTATTCTCAGGGTAACAGTGGCAGTGCCCTTCAGATCTTTCCTATTTAAAGTTCAGAGTGGCACTGCAACTGTTACGGACAGGCGTGTAGCTTACCTTGTTTGTTCGTCCCGTCATTTGATATTATAAAAAAAGTCATCCAACTGTCAAAATAAGAATAAAGAAAGCAATAATGCAATTACTATCTAATCATTACAATGTCGTAACATACACAATTCAGTATTTTTTGGCAATATGTTATCTTTTTCACAATCTATCGATAAGACTATTGACAACAAATACATAACTATTTAAAATTTTATGAAAACTGTACCACCTTATAACCTTATAATCATAAAAACACTGCGTGCTCTTGCACGTAGAACATAAATTAGTAATTACACATCAATCTAAACACATATTTGCAGAGAAAAATAAAATTTTATTCGTGTCTACCTATTAGCAACGACCACGGAACAATAAATACAATAGAAGTGCTTAGTTTGCATGCGTTTGCACGTGTGTCAACAAAACGCAGAGATCCACAAACTTGAGCTTTGTCCGCCATTTTTGCTTTATGCTCGTACGTTATGATTGTATCAATTATCAAACCACAACTTCGAAAATTGTAGAATAATTGCTTATTTCGCTTCTTTGGAGTGCAAAAATGTAAGTCACAAATGTGATATTGTCTATGGTGGTGTTTCGTATCATCATTAAGTCTTATTTTATATAATTGTAATAATTTTTCAATTTTCTATTCATGGTAATCATTTTCTTGTTGCAAGAAATGAAAATGAACCTTATGCCACTGCAATATGGTCGCTTCTTTTTTGGAAATCACAAATTCGTCGCCGTTTAGCTATTAACAACTAGACGGCAGCACATCTAACTCTATATATGATTATTATGTGGAGATATTTCTACATAATGTAGGTACAACAGAGAGCCTACTTAATTTTGATTTTTCAAATTAGATAGAATTTGATTTGACAAATTAGAAAGATATAGGTACATAGGGAGCGCTACAAGTTTCCGGAACTGGCCACTTAATTAATTAATTAAAAGTAATTACAACATTTAAAAATGGAACTCTTTGGCTGTAGAAAACAGTTTGTTTCATCTGACTGTCACTTGTTTTTATATTGTGGCGTCATTTTAGAAATTGGTTGTCTACATCACTATGGATTTAACTAGTGAAAATTTTCGTAGTAAGATTTTCTACGACTTTAAGTGTAATGTAACAGCTCAACGGAGCTTCGCTCGGCTTCAAACTGCTTTTAGCGATATAAGCACCATGCAAGATGACTATTTATAGCTGGTTTGCAGAATTCAAAGCGGTCGTGTGAACCTCTGTGACATATTTCGTGATGGTCGCCCGTCCACTGCTGTGAACAACAAAAACATCGATGCTGTGCACCGTATGATCAAAACAGACAGGCATGTGGCATACCATGAGATTCGGGCATCTTCAGGAATAGGCATGAGTCAAATACAATCAGTACTACACAAACATTTGGGTGTGAAAAGCTGTACTCTCGGTGGATCCCACACAGTTTGAATAAGGCTCAAAAAACGGATCGCGTCACTTTGCACCAAGTGATGTGCCATGCTTACCAGATTCAACGACGGGGCGTCAAATTTGGTGTGGGACATAGTAACAGGTGACGAAACATGGATTTATAGTTACGATCCCTAAACAAAGCAGCAATCGAGCGTATGGGTATTTAGAAATGAGCCGAAACCAACCAAAGTGGCGCGCGTGCAAAGTGCCCCTAAGCGGATGATTGCTCCTTTTTTTAATAAAACTGGACACGATCATTTGTTTGCTGGAAGTTATTGACAAACTCCGTAAAAATAACCGTAAACGCCGTATCATCTTGCACCACGATAATGCCAGTTCTCACACGGCCAAACAGACAAATGAATTTTTGAAGGTGAACAACGTTGACCTTATGAGCCATCCCGCGTACAGTCCCGACTTGGCACCTTGTAACTTTTATTTATTTCCAAAAATTAAGTTAAAGTTAACCAGTTACGCGGTCAACAATTTTCATCACCGGAAGAGGCTGTCGAAGAATATGCAAAATATGTTTCAGAGATTGTCACAGAGGAGTGGCATAAATGGTTTCAGAATTGGTTCATAAAAGTGCATTAACGCTAACGGAGAATATTTTGAGAAACAATAAATTCATTTCTGACCATTTATAGTATTTTTTCTTATTCATTCCGGAAACTTATAGTACGGCCCATGTAGTAGGAATCAGGTTCATCTTCTCGCTCAGAAACCCATCTGATTTCGAGACTACCCGATCGGAACGATTCCAATTTTAACCAAAATCAGGACGCTGCCGCTGTAGTGTGTCTTCTCAGCAGTGTGTCAATCCAAACAACTGTTAAGTCGCTTACAGTGTTTTGATTTAACAGCGCTCATATGATTTCTCTAGGCCTAATCTATACCCTGATATTTCAACTTTAGAGGGTATTAGTGTTTTTAAATAAAGTATTAATAATCTCAGTACAGAGTACCTACTAAAAAAACCGACCTCAAAATTACGTGGAATTACGTCTATTTGCTAAGTTTTATTGAAATATCCTTAAATTCGCCACTATACAGGACTTGACACTGGAGATAATAAAAATCGGTTCTCACTACTCAAAGTATATTGAGAGAAAAACGCCTTGATTTGGAGAAATAGCAAAATCGACCATTAAAGTAATTGCTCCTTACGTAAAATTTAGGCGCTGTTTATAAAAATGAATCTTCATGCATGAACAGCCACCCTTAGAGGTGGATGATTGTCTTCAAAATGAAATGGGACCACTATGGAAGTACCCCCTTTCCAACAAAAAAAAAATCATGAAAATCGGTTCACAAATACCGGAGTTATCGCGTAACATACATACAAAAAAAAGTACAGTCGAATTGAGAACCTCCTCCTTTTTTGAAGTCAGTTAAAAACTAAGATACCCTGTAAGTTTTTAAAATTTAGAAATTATTTTCACGTAACACAGTACGCAGCAATACCTATAGTTTTTTGGTTTGACAATAACGCGCGCAAAATGCAATACAGTGTTGCAGTGAACATTTTAACAATAAAATACGACATTCTATCGTGTCAAATCAAAACACCCCAAGGTTCAATACAGTATTTTGTAATTTTATAACAACAAGAATCTTTCGACGATATTTATATTCGTTTTTCGAGAGAAATAATTTGCTTTCCAAAGTAAAATTATAATGGCTAAATAGATTTCTTTAATATACCTAAGAACAACGCAATGACAACAAATTGCAACTAGGTTTTAACAAAACAACAAATATTAAAATAATTGTAGTGATGCAACGTAAGTGTCATAAAGAAAACAAAAACGGAAACGGAAGAGGAAGTGTAAATACTATAAAGATCTCAACGAAATAGAGTCAAACAGTAATAATAACGGACACACTCAACATAGCCCCGCACTAGGGAAACTCTGTGTCGCGGGTTCCATGGACACACATAGACAACCACAAATTACACCCCACTCACGAGAGAAATAAATGTAGGCCATACAAATATTTCTCCCGGCCCGGGAATTGAACCT